GATGCTCATCTGACCTTAATTAAATACCTAAAACCCCTGAGCTTCCGGGGGCTCTGCCCCCTGGACCCCACCAAGGGCCCTAAGGCGGGCCCCTGGATGCTCATCTGACCGTAATTAAATACCTAAAACCCCTGAGCTTCCGGGGGCTCAGCCCCTTGACCCCCTGCCGAGGCTCATGCCCTGGACCCCACGCCAATTTACGCTCTACCTGATCGATAATACTCCACTTTGAAAAACGTTCCGCGGGACCTGCATGTAACGTGTAAGACTGGTGGTGATGCAGATTTTTCGTCTGCCCCCCCCCCCCCTTCCGAACTTTTTTTCTCATTACGTCACTGCCCCTGGAATGTGAGCCCCCTGGAATGTTTGCCCCCCCCAATCCCAAACTGCTTCCGGCGCGCCTGGAGAGAGCTGATAGAATTAATATTTCTGAGAGAGGGAGGGAGAGAGAGACAGAGAGACAGAGAGACAGAGACGGACACATGGGGAATGGAGAGACAGACATAAATAAACATGAGGAGAGAGAGGGATTGAGAGAGAGAGAGAGAGAGAGAGAGAGAGAGCTAGGGAAGGGAGAGTTCGATAGATAGAAAGGAGAGGAGAGAGAGAGAGAGAGAGGAGAGAGACTGAATGAGGCAGCCTGAAAGAAACAGATTCGAAGAGAGAGAGAGAGAGAGAGAGAGAGAGAGAGAGAGAGAGAGATCGAAAGTAGCGCGAACGCTATGTTTGGAAAACAAGTTGATCGGCTGGGTTAGGCCTCCTCTGCTGCAAGCAAAGAAGGGGGTATTTCAATACCCGACTTTATGGCCATTTACTCGGGTTTGCGAGCTACGAGGGTCAGACGTAGAAGGGACATTTTTGAAAAGGAAAAGGGCCGGGCACTTACAATCATAAAATTAAAAGGGTCACCTATCAGATTTGGATAGGGGCACTATGATCAGAGCTGAAAAGAGGTATTTCTCATATATCTAAAAAGGGGCACTTATAAGAAGGGAAAGGAAAATTTATTAGAAAATTAAATGGCACTTAATTGTCAAAGTAACCAGCTAGGGCACCTGTCAGATTAGAATAGGGGAATTTATCAGAGGTGAAAAGGGGTAAGGGCATTTACTAGAAAGAAAAAGGGGTATCAGTGACTTATCTGAAGTAAAAAGAGGCGCTCCTAATTTCCTACAAATTATAAAGGGGCATTTTATGGGGATACTCGTAAAAGTGTTGGGGGTACTGTGACCTATATAGCCCCCTCCTACGAGCACCACTTATGACTTAGAGAAATTCTACCTCACATCTCCTATCCTTTAACACACTCATTTTTTTCTTTAATATCTCTTCCCACATCTAGTTCTCTCCGTCTCTCTCTCTCTCTCTCTCTGTCTTGCTCTCCCTTATATTTTGTATATTGTACTTTTATTTTGCTTGTCAACTGATAATTTAATCTTCCTGTTCACTCCCTCCACATTAATTAAATGCGTAGCCTCTTTTTTCCCCCATGCCGTTTCAATTTAATTTTAATATGTCATTATGATTTCTTGATGACTTTTCTTCTGTATCTTGAATGGAAGGCGAGTTCTTACAGTTGTTTGCCTTATATGCTTTGGTCAGTTGTACACTTTTGTACTTTTACTGTTGTAGAAAATAAATGAATCTATGAACTTATCCTATAATCTTATTTTAAACGGGTTTCATATTTAGTAATCAATATCTAAAACATGAATTCCAGATAAGGGGCTTACCCCTTCAAGCATTGCATTCTTAACATCTAAAATATTTCTCGATAAGGGCCTACAAAAGAATTAATCTACACCATGTAACCCCCCCCCCCTCCTCCCCACATACACTAACACACACAAAATACTGATTTCCACTTTAGAAACACAGTTATGGGACTAATTGAGTGCAAACTGTCTCTGATTATTTTCTCTCAAATTTGCCTTTGGTTTTAACATCTATGTCATGTTCTACTTGCATTTTAAAGTTGCTTTAAAAAAAAAATTTAAATCCATTTTTGTGGGGAGGCTGGAGGGGAGAATATGTCACACCCCCCCCCCCCCCATTACCTGCTATCTCCAAATATACACACTTTTTAAAAATACAATCTAATTATCTATACCACAATACCATATTAGTCTAAATAAGGAACATAAACGATGCAAAACTAGATATCGCATTAAAAATATAGTTTTCTTTATTCAATAGAAATATAAAGAATAGATTACTCACTTGCTTGACCCATAACTCTTGCAACTCATTGATGGGACATAATTTAAGGCAAAGAAAGTCATATTAGATTCTTCTAATTAAGTATGGACTTCATGTGCACGAGAGAAATATCACATTTTGTCTGTTTAATGAAAGATAAGGGACTGGTCTTCTACACAGTACGAGAGGTCCATAAATGTCTTTAACCACTTTGGTATCTGAGAAATGATCAAATACAGAGCATATTGTTTCACACTCCATATTTAAATGCCCACCACCTGGACCATCACTTACCAGAAAACCATTAGAAAACTAAAGCCTGATATACAGGTGTTTGAATAAGCTTACAATATACAGATCATTCTTGGAAATCAGTATTTTTCAGTATAATTAAAGAGAAAACCATTACATGGCTAGTGTAGATCCATACATAAAACTCTGCAATTGTAATATTTGATCGCCTTTATAAAATTCATTATTGTAGAGGTGGTCACAGTATGTGGTCATGGAACAAGTGATTGAAAAGATAAGAAGCATTAACAAAGAAGTCAAATAAGGTTATCCAACATCTAAATAATGACTTAATTTATAATCACATTGGGGGAGATGAACATGTATATTGAACCATTATTTCAAGTAAATTTTCTATTTCTTATAGCTCTTGACAGATCTTATCAAAAAATACATTTCATACCAATTTTTTTTTTACAATTTCTGACAAAAATACACTTCATGTATAGATACCAAGCGTTTGCAAAGATCTTTTAAAATATTTTGACATGTAAATTCATTAAATTTCATTATAGAAAAAATGTTTTACAAAGATTTCATAAAAAAAGTTTTCTAGTAAATCATTATTTGGGGGAAAGGCTTTTAACCAATTAACCAATACTGAGTGATAATTGTTTGTACATATCTTATATATTTTCCTGCACACATGAATATTAGGCACTTTAAATAGAAATTTGAATATACCTCCTTTTTTGCAACAAAACAGTCAACATAAAAATAAATAAAAGGGAACATTTCATACAATTATACATTTTCACTGTTCTTAATCTTGAATATTGTGCCAAGGAGTAAGAAATGTTGAAATGTAGTTAACACATTAAAAAAAGTAAGACACAATCATAAGTTGTAATAAAAGGCATGAAAAACCTTCAATGGTTGAGCATCAATGTTATAACTCTTAATTAAATAATTTAATGGCAGTAAAGCTAACAATTAAATCCTTTATTTACACAGATGTACACTTCAATTCAAGAAATTTATTCATTCATGTATGTATACATGTACAGCCATGTACATTTGCGCAGTGAAAGTATTCAATTCCTTGGGATTATTTGGATTGATACACTGCCTATCAGACCTCTAAGCCTCTGAGTGGTTTGAAATGTAAGTGCTAGAAAATATATATACCTGGTCAATAGCTCCAATTTCGCAAACTACAAAAGGCAAGGATGCACAAATTTTAATTTGGATACACACAATTATATTAAAGGTAATACAAAGTTTTGGTATGGAGTCATGACTTTGGTTGAAATGAACATATTGGAAGCATATGCGATCCTACAATATTCAGTGATCATTGTCGCGGTTGAAATCGAGTCCAAAGTGATGAAATTGTGAATACTGTAATAAACTCTTTATGTTGTATAGCTATCTCTCAAGATTGATATTACTTTAGCTTCAAAATAATGTTTCCTGACTAAAATCAACCAATTTGGTATTCCCGCTTGGAAATGATATATCAGAATTTCATATATTCCGAGCTATCATTGTATGGCTGTAGGCACTATTTGAAATTAATCAGGAGCACTGATATATTTGATATTTTGAAAACCCTTAGCGTTTTAGAGCCCAATTTTTTTTAAGTTGCTCATTCTAAAAATAGGTTTCACAATGGTAATGCATATTTTAAATTTCATAATCCAATCCTGTCAAAATATTACCAAAACTTTGTATTACCTTTAAGGTTATGATTTGTTCCATAAATATCCATGTAAACGTGTATATATTTCAACAGGGCTTTTAAATTTGAATATCCCTTTCTGAGGATCGAGTAAAATGTAGTATTACATAGAATAAACTCTTATGGTCAAAACTATTACCTTAAACTAGTACTCTTTCCCCCTAAATGAAGTCCTGTGCTTCAATTTGGAACAAGTTGGAATAGTTTTTACCATTTTCACCCAAAGCGGTCAATATTATTACATAGAAATTTCATTTCACAAGTTCCATTTACACTAAAACAAAGCTTCCCTTGGACAGCTTGTTAAATGGAATTTCTGTCTTAAGGAAAGTCATGCTGTGCGTCTTTTAAAAAAAATAGGGTTCATGTTTAGCCTAAAGTGTAAATAGAGGCCAAAATACTTACCTCGCAGATGCAACACTTTCAAGAATATATTTTCTGTTTTTGTCACATTCAACAGAAAATAACTACATGCTTTCTACATTCAATATTGCTACAACTTTTTGGAAATTGTTTGCCACTTAAAAATATGAAAATAAACCTTGCAATTTGTATGATCCATTAGATAATTTTGCAAAATGATGTAAACAAAATCGGACATGAATATAGACAGAGTTAAAGTTTCAAATATTAGAAGAATGATAATAAACAATGTCTAAAAGTCAATTAATTTCATTCATTCTAACATGGTATAGTACCAATGATTGTAATGAAAAGCATCAAAGATTAGGAGTAATATTACACATCTCCTTGCAAAATAACATACAAGAAATTTCATGTCCCAGCATATTTGCACATCCATCATATTTTAGATCACAAAAAAAACTGATGGAATAACAAGAAATAGCTAGAATTCCTAGAAACAAGAAACAGCCATAGCAGAGGGAATAAACTTGCTCTATCTACGGAATTTTTTAACTCTAGGATTCAAAATTGAGAATATCTCATTTTAGCTTTCTGTTATTTTGCTCAAAGAGCTTCTTCAAATTTCAAATTTTCAAAGTTTGACTGAATTTAGTAGTACACTGCTGATTTGTATGGTTCAATTCCAGAATATGATGGATGCTTGCTGGTCTTTCATAAGTACTGTTATCATGCACTAAAACTGGAATGATGATATAGAAAGTAACTAATCACTATCTAAGACCAAGTACTTTTGCTACTTGCACACTTACAGATTTTCAATCAATCAAAATAATTTGTCAATCTAAAATATTTATACTCTTGGCATGCATGGTAAACATTTCTCTTTTCAGTAAATCTACATTATGAAATGAGCAGCCTCATGATATATGAGAAAACAACAGATTTTCATTCAGAATAAAACAAATACTTTCTGTAGTTACAATAATTCCAGAACAAGCATTATTCATCAGAGAGTGGTGTACACTTAAATTTGCTGGTGTGTAGAAAACTAGGTGCCTCAAATGAAATCAAGTGATACAAAAAAAAGTTCTGACTTCTGAGCTAGTAGGGCATCAACTCTGTATTAAAGAAAATGAGTTCACTGAATAATGTGTGTATGTATAGTATTAGTATGACTAAAGAAAATACCCATATTACAGACACGTCTCAAACAATGACAAATTCAGCCTAAAATGTTGATGTTGTGGAAATTTAAAAAAGGAAGGCATAGCCACTGCTCAGCTTTAACAATCAGCAATAATTTCTTAATAGACGATCAAAGCAGTGTATAACAAAAAAATAATTTGTAATGATAATTATGATATACAATTACACATATATCCGATGATGAATTTTCGGACTATACACAATCTGCCAACATGTGCAAAATTCTTATACAACACTGTATAACAAAATTAATTACATATAAGTAAAGCTTCAATCTGTTTATTCTTGAGCCCAAACCAGGATGTGGTGCTATCATAATTATGGTTCATATGATTGGTTTATCATACAAACATGATATTTTTTCAGTCTAAATTTCACTGTCACACACAGTGTGAATGATCAGATTCGCATACCCCCAATTGAATGTATGATCAAACAGCTATTTCTGTATATTTTTGAGTAGTTTTGCACTATAACATATTCTAAAAGTATGCATGTACACGCTGTAAGCTACCAAACTGAAGAACTACACATGATTTCAGATTCAGAATAACTACTGGAATTGTTCTTACATCTGACAGAATTAATAAAACAAATGAATTAATATACCCAATAAAAATTCAGCAGCCATGCAGTAGACTCAGAACTGCCTTTTTTATAGTCTGCTTAAAAACCTGGGTTTCATAATTTTATATACAGTGGTACAATTTGGTAAAGCCCTATCTAATGTTTGCCCTAATTTCATTAATTTGAGTTGAAAAAAAATAGTTACTAATTACAAGGATAGATCGTACATTTTGTCCTATTCATGTGGAATAGCCTACAAACAATAGGCTGGCTAAGCTGACACTGGTAAGTAAGCTGCACGCGCAGGGATATCTAAGAAGCTCTCAGAGGTTTATCCTACATTCAACATTCCTTGTAGATAGTGACAAAAACATTCATCAGAAATCACATATAGATCCTCAACATATCTGGACCATGTATTTCTTTTGATACAAGAAGAATAATATGACACTATATTCATGAAAGTTCAATCCAATATCCTCTCCGATACCAAAACTAGATACATTGACTTAAAGCTATGACGTGTCCACTTAACATTCAAAATATCAAACACCTCATGGCAAGTAATGTGTTTCCATGCAACAGCTTGATTTCAGGTCTCATTTGAGTTAGCAAAGTAGATTACATCGAGTCACTTCTTCAATAGGGCAGATAAACTGCTTTAGTATTGTCTATATCATAATGTCTTGGCTTCTAACGATGGTATCTTGACTGGAGTTGCTGAATTCGACACATCATCTCTTGCTCTCTTTGATGATGACTGAATGGACATTGCTCTACTTGCTTGAGATGTGTTGGTCACCTAAATTGATTTCAGTTTTCAAAAAGAAAAAAATGAAGAAAATGAAGTAATCACCTTTATATTCCAATGAACAACATTGTTACTACACATACCGGTATACCATTTCATTTTAGAGTTAATTTTTTGAATGTGTAATACTGGAGAAATGTGCACATGCATTAAGACCTAAGGGATTAACTATATAAAGGTACTGCAATTAATCTGATCACAAAGAATATTTCTACCTAATACTTCATAATACAGGAGAGCAATGTTAGTTTGATCATGAGGTAAGTTAAATTGCTGCAATAAGGTTAAGAATTTGAATATGAATTCAATAAGAACCTTAACAAAACACATGTTAGTAAACACTCTTTCAAGGATTTCAATGATTATAATAGTAGAGTCTTGTATAGCACTCATGTCTGGCACTCCTGGTGTTCCAATATTATTACCCTGGCTTTAGCACAGCTGCGATTACAGTGCTAGAACATTTTAAGTACCAGTAATTAATTTTTGCCTGATACCCATTCACCTCACCCGGGTGGAGTCTGCCAAATGTAGATTAATGTTTTGCCGAAGAACATAAGTGCTGCAACAGAGATTCAAACCCCTGTCCTTGTGTTTTAAAGTCCGAAGACTTACCCACTTGACCACAACACCTCTACAAACATGGGATTGATCAATATATATTTTTCATTTTCACTTTTAAGTAAAAGTACCATAATCAAATCATAAATATGAGAAAGTATAACTTGCTTTGCGGCAATTCCAAACCCTTGTGACATGTATGATATAACAATGACTGCCACAAACTTGTGCTCACAAATTTTGTTCCTAATTTTTTTCTTTTCAAAACTTAATAAGGGTTGATTGTCATCTGTCGTCTGAGAATTATGACTCCAATGTTGACACTATTTTAAAGGTCAAGCTCATCCCAAAACAATTAACCACACAAAAAGCAAACCATATATCGCATGTTTAAACTAATATGTATTGTTCATCTAGAAATATGCACTTCTGCTAGTGTGAAAAGATATACTCTCAAAATCTGCATCAAGAAGAAACAAAGGGATCATCCAAGTAGACCAACAGCCAATGAAATTGACAAAATAAAGAAAAAACATAGAACAGAAGAAACTTTGTCTTATAAAAAGGTCCACTAGATATGGGATGTTGGTCTCATGGGCCATTGGTCTGGTGAACCCTCAACACATTTGTAGACTGACATTGTTAGTCTTGTGGGTTGTTAGTCTAGTGGGCTGTAGCCAAAACAAAGTGTGAGAGAGTAGCTTAGAGTCAACAAAAAAAGATAAGAGAATGGCTAGTTAATGTTAAAGGGGTAAATGCCCACCTGTTGGCATGCTACATGCAGCTGAATGGCTGGTACATTTCCAGGGACTGTCACTGTGTTCTTTCCCTCTATGTTTGCTAACAAGGGGATCACATAAACATGCATGTATGTTAATTTATTTACACTCAAGTTTGTTCACTATGCAAGTTAGACTTAATGGTATATGCCAGTCAATAGTATCCCATAAAGACTGTTCTATTGCAGTACTGGATGTATACTTTTCGACTTACATGTACATGTATAATATCCTTTGAAGATTGTACCTGATAAATTTCATCCCAGAAAATGCCAGAAATTCAATGTTTCTAAACATAAAATCACCAATCCAAGATTAGTCAATAATTAAATATCACTAAAGCTTAACTTGCAAATGTGAAATCATGAGACCACTAAAGGGATTTAAATATTTTTGTCAGAAAGAATGTCCATTTTCTTTCATTATAATTCTTGGAGCTTACAGATGTTCTCCAAGAAGCCTGATGCATTTCTACCTACTTGCCTACAGATTTGATCAATGTCATGGTATTGTAACATTATCTGCTGCCTCACTATTAAAGGCTACAAACAACATATAAATCCTAATAAGATTCATACATTTCTTCTTAAAGTGTTTTATCCAGAACCATTAAATTAATTAACATTATTCTAAAATGTAGATTTCTACTTCTTAAAATACATGGAAAACTGATGGTGGCACATCATGTATGTGAATATGATAGATACAATACGACTTGGACAAGATTAGTTGATGACGGAGCATTTGCAGGAATTCAAGTTAGTAGTAGGGTCATATAAAGGTCTATGCTAAGCTTAATCAAGTCTTTCAATGACTGCTTTAACATGCTAATGAATGCTTCATATGATTCTTAAATTCACTTCACTCATCTCCTCATTCAAGGTGATCACCACAGAGGAAGTTGTATGTTTGGAGGCCGAATGATTTTAAAGGTAAAGACCAGTATTGGAAACGCCCCAATTTCAAAAAATGAAATGGAAGCTCTCATTACCAATCATGTGAAAGAATATGTTTTGACTAATACATGATGATACAAAATTTGCCGGGGAAACCGCCTACTAATTCATATATTTGGTAAATTTGTTTCTCTCATAGTCTGTGAGAGATATAGGGTAGTCCCATATACATCTTTCTGTGTATAGTGCTTGTAACTTTATGAAGAATGGGCCAAATTTCTTATCATTTTGATGATTCCAGAACCTTGCAGATGCTAGATGCTAGATGATCAACCTTTTCTGATCGATTCCACAATGTTTCTTTCACAATGCAATCGCATGACCATAACTGGTCTTTACCTTTAAACTCATGTCCTTTAACACAGAGTTAATGCCTTTCTGGCTCTCAACAAACAAAGTAATCACTGCAAAGAATACTGTTCACCAGGAATGGACTCTTTATATAGCAATATGTATGCATGTAAATGTAAAATACCTAAGCTCTGACTTGCGCCACCATAAGAGAGAGATGGGTTTGTCTGTTTTGAGCCAGGGTGGTAACTCCCCTTTTGGCTCCAAAAAAACATTTGAATGATAATGGTAAGTTATTTCTATGCTTACCATGGGCTGTCTGATGTAGGTGTGTAGCAGCAGCAGCAGCTGTTTGATAGTTAAAGAAAAATCCTTCTGGTAGAGTATTGACAGTGCCTGCTGGTGATGCGGCATACACCACTCCTTGAGGGGTGTGATACATCAGGGGCGTGGCTATCGCATTGGTGTTACCTGCAGCTGTAAAAAGCAAAGGTATTGGGTGGTATTGTAAAAATGTATAAGCACAGAGGCAGCGTTCATATCATGGTCCCTGTCAGGTATTCTTCTGCCACACTACAACACCATTGTAAGAATGTAGGAACTTTGTGCAACCGTGTGGAAATACTTTTTAGTTGGTCCCCTCCTCCCAGAACCCTGTACCCCCAAAGACCTAGAGGGTCTCAACGCCAAGGTCAGATCCTGTCTTACCTAAGCCGGTGGCATTTGTCCACCGATTTATGGAGCATCTCTACCTCTTCCTTCCTTCCATCAACATTGTGATAATTCTATATCTAAATGAGCAAACAAAGACTAATTCATTATTAAATCCATTTACCATTTGCATTTATTGACTGGGTAAATTTGGTTTACTTATTTCATTGCAGAATTGAAAATAAACAGTACACAGTAAAGAGCTAGACATTATGAACCATTGTTTCTTTGCTTATTTGGTATCACTTCGCCATTTGTTTTAAAATGCCAACAATTCACAGAAAAAACAACCAAACACCATTTGAACCAGTAAAAAAACATACAATATGGAGGAAAAGCATACAAAAATCACTTAATTATACAATATGTGAAACAGGTTCAATGTACAAGTTCAATGTACATGATTGAATGTTGAATTATAAATCATTTTAAATTTTTTACAAGAAAACACAGTATGCATACATGTGACTCACGGTTATCCCCATGACATCGCCAGAGCTGCCAACCATTCCGTTTTTGCCGGAATTACTCTGTTTTTTCCTCCAAATTACGGTATTACGTTTTTTCTTCATAAAATACGGTTTTTAATAATCGCACATCAAACAACTACCCTAAAATGGTGATTTGATCACAAATTCAATAGAAAACTAATTTTAAAACATACTTGAAGAAAAAAATATTCTCAAAAAAAATGAAATGCCGATAATACCAAAATAACCACCAAAAAATTACCTGCTTGTATGGAAAAAACAGCATGATGAATGAGCATTTCTGCATTGGAAGTGTGTCGCGCGTGGTTGTAAGTTTCGTTTTTATGAATTCCTTTTTTTGGCTTGAAATTCATTTTTTTTTTTCCATCATGATTCCTTCTTTTGGTCGCACAAGGTTGGCAGCTCTGCATCGCCAAACATTTAAACCTTACATATTTCGGTATCGATCCAAAATTACCAACAAGAAAATACACATGACTTCTAGCATTATTGTGATTTACATTTAACATTCAGCAACATTTCTTTCAATTCTGTGTGATATTACATAATTTACATTTGCAAGATTTTCTTCTCTTGTTTTTGTGTACTGTACATTTATTCAAAGTTCTACAAAAAAAAGTAATGCTATGTGATGGTTGAAGTTACTGGTGCTTATAATATTGGCTGGTATCTCAATGGTAATTGGGTCAGGTTAAGATCTATCATCATGTCTGAGTCTGACTGGGTCTTACTCCCATGGGGGTCATGATTAAATGTCACAAGAATTGGGTCAATAGAGATATGGCTATACCAACTGGGTATGCAACTTAATTAGATTAATTACCACATATCAAATAAAACAGGGACTGTCAGTTTGCTTATAGCCCAGCCATTGCCTCCTCTTCACTTACAATGCATAGACATAAATTGCTGATTGCTTTTAAAACTGTTACTGCAGAAGAGGCAACATAGGTTTATGTGAGTAACTTTTCTTGTTTTAATTGTGTAATACATGTTAAAGGTAGTCAATCTAAATATAGATAATTACAATTAAATGAGAAATTTAGTTTTTAGAGTGATTATCAGGGAAGGATTTGTCAACAAGTCAAATATCAGGCCCCAAATAAATCTTCAGTAATGGTATTATGACTACTACTTGGGCCCCAAAAAGAAAGAGAAAAAACAAAGATTTTCCTCTGCAGAAAGGCTTCTAATAATAAAAAAGCAACATCTTTTGAACAATGGAAATATATTTTCTCTCCGCCTGGAGGAAAGATTCTGAAACAAATGCTCAAAAAAATATAAAAACAAAAAGAAATCTGATAAAAATAAAAATCAGGGAAATATAATATGAAGCTAGAATATTCTTTTGACCACCATAGGTATCCAGGATTTAAGTAAGTGGTGCTTACATTTTGGTCTTGGGGGCTCAGTGGCCCCCTTCCAGATATGACTACACTTTATATGAAAATGATATACTAGTACAAATATAAACAAAAACTGCTAACATTAAATAATATTTTAAAAGAAAATTAAATAAAAGAGGTCTCTCAAAATCGCAATTTAGCCAATTCCCAGCTGTCAACAGAATCCTTGCCCTTCAGAAGAATGTACAAGCTTTGAACAATGGATATATATACACTTGTACAAACTATGATTTCAATTGAGCAATGGCTTACACAATGGATACATGCAATAATATATTATAGAAACTTCATGATCATACTCACGACTCATGGATGATTGCGGTGCAGTGAGCATGGTTACAGTGTTGGCACTCTGAGTGTGTTGGGTTGTGGATGTAGTAGCAGCACCAGCATGCACAGAAGGGACTAAGGCAGTAACCATCTGACTAGCTGTACCAGCAAGACCTGTTCCTTGCTGTAGTCTAAAAGAATAATGATAACACTAATATTATCCCACAAACATAGAACCTTAGAAGACAAACAGTAAAAAAGGGGTCACATAACATAGCACACACTGCCTATCCTGGCAGTCGGAAGAAAAGTAAAGAATATTGCATTGGTGGCGTCTTATGTTTCTGGTGCCAAATTGCAAAGACATGCGAAATTAGAGCAAAGGGCTGTGGTTTTGAGAAACTGTATTTGTCTATACGGCTAATGTCAAGGACATATTACTCATTAAAGCTACTCGGTAACATTGTCTCAGATTCTGAAACAAAATCCTGGATTTAGCTCATGCTGCAATCATAATTATAAACCCTTTAGGTCAGTCAGGAATCCCATGACTTTTAAAAGCCAATCGCCTGTCTGATTATCAAGATATTTATGATAGGAAAACGAAATTTCATTTTTCGTTTTAACAGTTTTTATAACACTATAGTCTATTGAAGAAAATGAGTATGGTAAAATTGGTTACTTAAAGATTTTTTGCTTTTGAGGCACTTCATGAGCATTTTAAAGTGCTATTTTTTAGGGCTTCAAAGCACCTCACAGACACTGATGACACATAGGGCCATGCATCTCACATTTAACTTTGGTAAAAGATGCCATGAATATTGGTATCCGTAACATAGGACTGTCCACAGAATTTATATTGTGTGAATAAACAGTACACTTTAATAAAGAATTGCCAAAATGGGATATACACCAAAAAGGTATCAAATGCAAGGGTAATGTAGGATGATCTATTCTTGTCAAAGGGATCTTGGGAGTTACTACCTCCATAAGCCACTTGCCTCAGGAGAAGATAATATAGCATAAACCACCAAGGTCTTCAAACAAAATTGTAAAACTGATGGGACTTGCACCCTGTCCACACACAACATTTTCCGTGATTAGGCGTGATTAGCTATACCGTTTCGCAATAGTGATACCGTTTCGCGATAGTTTTACGATGAAATTGTGTGTGTGGACGCTCACTAACGATACGTCGTATAACGAAACTAGTCTAACGAAACGCAGGTTTGGGCATCGTTTCAAACTGAAACTAATAACTTATCACGCCTAATCACGCCTAATCACGGAAAATGTTGTGTGTGGACAAGGGGAGTGTAACTAGTGTAACTAACTGGGCGGGGCTTAACGTGACCTCGAGCGAAATGAGACCAGACCTCTCATTTCCGCTTCCATTTCACGACCGCAGCAGCAAACTGCGCACCTATACAACATTTCGCTGTAGAGTTTCAGGATTACTTTCTTCTGTGTGTGGACATCCTGGAATTTATACAATGATTATTTATACGACCTTTCTTGTGTGTGGACACTCTGAAATTTATACGATGATTATTTATACGACGTTTCGTTATAGAGTTTCGGCATAAATTGTTTTGAGTGTGGACACGCTGTTGGATGCGGAGATGTTTACCTGTAGAGTGTGGGTGTTCCCGAGGGTGTCTGGCCCTGTGCATTAGGCTGAAGCTGCAGTTGAGAATGACTGGGTTGTACTTGGAGCATCCCAGCACTTAGTGCTTGTCCTGCTGTTAATGCCTGTCCTGTAGGATGACAATAGCATGTACCCATTATATTTCAGTTCAAAAAATATCACCACGCTGTGCCATTTGTTCCTCAATGAAAGTGCACAATTTTGCAAATACAGAACTGGAGATTTAATTCACATGTACCCTTTCAGTTAAGAGCGTTTTTTTTAAATTAATAAAGTGGACAGTGCTATAGATAGAGGAAGCATGGAGCATGAGCCTCCCAAATGTAATATCTATAGAAAAATAGACAAATACAAAAATAAACAAGAAATATTGCAATCTCCATTACCACAAAAGTATCCCCAGGCACTGGCAGCGATGTTTGTGTCATCCTTATGTTCAAAGGAGGGACAAAGATCCCCTCTCCCCTCCCTGAAACAAAAGGATGGCTTAGAGATTGCCACTAGTGGCTCAGACTATTGTCAAGACTAGGAGCAGCATCACTAAAACCATAAGTTTGTAGATTAGAGTATAATGCATCTACACTGTATATAGAAATTTGAAAGAAAAGTGTCAAGAAATGTGACCTGCAGAGCGAACAAGACAACCTTTGACCGTATAATAGACAGAACATAGGCAGCAGCATCACCAAACACTTAAGATATGTAGATTTTGCTAAGACACACCTCCATACAAAATTTGAAAGAAATCTGCCAATGTGGTAGATAGAGCGCACAAATGAGACAAATGAGACAAATGACCTTTGACCCTATAGAGGATGGAACAATGAGGGCAGCATGACCAAAAAGTAAAGAAGTGTAGATTGTACTAAGATACTCTATACAAAATTTAAAGAAATCCATCAAGAAATGTGGTCTGCAGAATGCACTCACGCCATCCTGCAGAACATGACCTATTTATGTACTACTTTCTTTCAAAAAACATTATCACTCACTGATCAACTTAAACAATTTCTCCCACAAAAACATTGTATTAGAACACTTAAAAATTCAAAGAAAATTCCGGATTTTAAATGTAAAACCAGTCGCATGCAAAATAGTCCTATTCCAAATTTGAATCGCCTGTATAATAATAGTTAATTTGCTCATGTTTATATTTATTGTAATGATTTATCATTGAAATGACTCGATTCCTGTACATTCTTGTAATAATTGTGTATATCGTACCGGTATGTTTTAATGATATTGAATTGCTTTTTACTTTTAAATTTGAATAAAGACAAAATGAAAAGAAGATGACACAACCTGTTCTTATTCCCTCTCCCCACTTGATGGCATTGTTATCTGTCATGTCATGTATCAAATAAGATTGGCACTGCCCCCCCCCCCCCCCCACCCCCATCCCTATACCAGTACCCCCTCAATGGCTAGACCCATGCTATGCCACTGTAGAGGAACATACCTGTAGGTGAAATGAGTGTTGTAATAGTAGCCCCTTGTGGAACTGACATTGGTAGACTAGTAGCTGCTGTGGAGCTGACTTTTGTTCCAGGTGTTACAGGAGCAGCTGACGAAGTAGGTAAATATGTTGTCATTGGAAATGTATGCCCTGCACCCGATAAGAGACCTGGATATATGGATATAGAGAGTTATAAAGCATTCACTGATTACAATTATCAACATACATTCAAATCTCAATACATATTGGGGGCTAAACAATGCAGTTCAATCACCAAAGGGACTATAACATTTAATACTCTGTCATTTACAAGTTTGCCTTCCTTTTAATTTTCTGAATATGGAAAATATCATATCATCAGATTATTATATGGTGAAATCTAAACAAATTCTGAATTTATCCATACCAAATGGATCCTCATCATCATCATTAATAGATCATCAGTTTCTCATGCAAATATTTGTACAGTACACAAATGCAAGAATGAGATAGTATCTCTAGAAATATTCAAAATCTACTTTACATCAAATATATATCTACATTTATTCCATTTCCCTTTTTTCTATCAGAACTTAACAATTTTCTATAAAGAACAATAAAGACATTGAATTTTACCATTTGAAGTATTTGTGTTTGCATCAGCTCCTGCTCCTGGTACTTGTGTCACTTGAAATATAGCTGATCTTCCTTCCTACAATAAAATACACAGATAAACTTTGCTAAATTTCTCAAAAGTGCAGATAAAAAAATAAAAAAATAAGGGTTTGTGTTGTACTATAATCCTCAAAATTATATAATTAAATACTAACATTCCACATACTAACAGGAATTGTATTTGTTGAGCCCCTGTGACTTTAACCAATATTATGTAGACCCATATGACCAACAAACAAAACAAATTCTCTTCATAGTTTATACCTTTTTTGAACTTCAAATCATCAACTTCTATGAGGATGGAGGGCAAGTGTAAAATAGGGTGTATGTATGTTCATGTAGTTATGGGTCCGAAGCATACATACATTGTGTATATATATGTCACATATTATCATAGACGTAATTACGTCTATGATATTATCAAGCTCCTTCGTAATGAGAAAATAAAAGCAGATGCTACATTGGATAACCTAGAAAATGAAATCACTTGTAAGCCTCTCTTAGAGCTGGTATGATAATTAGTGACAAATGTGAAACATTTCTGCCTCCTCTCTCTCTCTCTCTTCCACTCCTTCTTTCTGTATATCAGTGGATGACTTTGTTGAGATTCCTTGACTGCATCACAACCAAGAATAAACTCTAAACTTCCAACAATGCGACTCGTCTATTCTAGCCCTTATATGATGGAATGCCATATATGCCAGTGCCGCTGCTGCAAGCTTTGAACTGCCATTGGTCGGGTGATATACACTCCCATCAATGGCTTTCCCATTAACATGTAGGTCTTCTCATACCAAAGATGAGATACATTGCCACTCACTAAAATGCCTCTGAGTACAACGAAAATTTATGGAAATATGAAAATATATTTTCCTACGTATAATTAATATTTCACAATTTCGACGTTTCTCAGTTATGTACACAATTAAGAGAATCAAGATGAGACTTTTTTTGTTACCAGCAACGCAAAATGAGCAGTCTCTTAATTATATCTTTATCTGATTTCTTATGACAGAATCATTTTTTAATGATATTTTTGTGTGATTTGATTCTCAAATAATGTTTCTCTGCCACTTCGGCATACTACCTGTAAACTCTACAACTTTACTGCTTGCATTATTATTTGATTGTGTTTGATTTCTTAGCAATTTGCACATGTATACCATTAGTTGACAAACTGAAGTGTGTTGACTCTGTGTTTAATGGATTTTAGTCAACATCCTTCTACCTCTCTCCTAATAATATGTGTGGTTGGGATTAATCTTTTCTCAGAGCTATGAAAACATATATCATCAGATGAGACTTGAGAAACAGAAAGGCATTCAGTAACATCCTTCTGAATCTCTGCAGATAATAAGCTTGGGATATATCTCTGACCATAGCTACAAACAAATTGACAACAAGGCACTTGAACAAATTAAATTCTGATATGAGACACATGCTTTTCCAAATTTGTGTTTACCTATCTGTAAAAACATCCATCTAAGAGGACACTGTGATAAAATAACGTTTCGATTTTCAGCTCTATTTGTGAACTGCTATCTGTAAAGGATGAGTTTGACAAAAGGAATAGACATAAATTGTATGTTATTTTACATCACTCCTTATTTCCATTTGTCCCCTTGTCTTTGTTTATTTCCCTTCTCTCATTATTTGTATACTTAAAGGCACTATGTCCCTTTTGCAGGCCAAAAAAAATGGAAAGGTTAAATTCCAATGGCATTTGAAAGATAATACTAATTTAGAACTCCCCTTACAAAAATGGGGCTTGAAAATGTCTTTAAGTGGGAAAATAACGACTACCGTATTAGTTGTCAAATCGACTTAGGAGCTATAGAGCCAATAAGTAAAAGTCTTGATTTTCATACCATTGTACCGCATGGTCGTACATTATATACTGCACAAAGATTCAATCAGTTTAATTTTGGCCATTACAAGAAGTGGGATATTGATGTAGACAAATCCTTTACAGCTCATTTTATGTATGTTATTACCAAAGAAGAAGAAAAAGCCAGTCAGTCACTCAATACTGACGATAGTGTCTGACAGTAAAGTCTAGCAAGTAAACAGGTTTCCTTGCATAATTTGAATATTAGGACACTGCTAACGTTTAAATTTCACAGATAGGACAAACATGACATATTCATAATTCCTGCAAAGATCTACAGAATTTGAGGTTGGCTGCAAAAGGGACATAGTTCAATGAAAATACAACTTGATATAAATGGAAAACTGAATGCATATAGAATACAAATATAAGGGAATAAAAAGTATTTACCCTTTCATTATTGGACAAAAGCAAATTAAAACCTCATTTCCCATACCCCTCCTAATTACGGGTCAACAGGAGTCAAATTTGCTGAAGCTACAATGAAGACATACATGTAACATGTGGACCGACCGGTTCACCTATATAGTTGAGGCGATGAGCAGTGCTTTGATTAATGCAAAGTCATTGTGAATATATGCATACTCCACATGAGATGATGCCATAAAGTCGATAGCAAGTTTTTAGGTCAACAACTTCTGATTTCAAAGCTTTAGATTTAGATTTTTCAGAGAGCTGATGCTCCTCTGACAGACACTAACATGGCATATAATTGATATTAATGTAATCTATGGCTCATATGCTTTTCGTTGATATATAATTCATCCATTTCATTTTTCAGTTCGGATATGATCTTTAATAGTAATCTGTAGCTATAAATAAATTTGTCTGATTTGATTTGATTTGATCAAGTTTCTTGTTTTGGAAAGGGGTGGGCCAGGGTACAGTAGTAGGTTGAAATAAGGCACTCATAAGGAATATATATATATAATTTTCTCAGTGATAGCATAGAGAGGATTAGCGATGCATTTTGAGGGGGGGGGGGGTGATGCCAGTGCAAAAGAATTTTGTACCAGTGTAGAGTCAACTGATGAATTCAATCTCACTTGGCTCTCTTGTATCATGTTTTACTTGAGGAGCTAATCTGACAGACTAATAGACAGGGGAGGGTTGGGGGTCCATGTTTTGGTCAATTGGTATGCATTCATCAATATTCAACAAGCATCGTCACAGAGCACACCCCTGGCCTTCTTCCAAAAGGAGTTGTAGGACACCCAAGGTCTTCTACCCATATATGGAATACGCATTCTCAAACATGGCACTCTCATTAATCAGTGTGGGCTGCCTCCTTTCTTCATAATGAAGAGAGAGGGCAGCAATCATACATCACAGGACTGTTGCTCCTTATGTGTTTATACATGAATATGTAAATATGCCAAATTGAATTATATCACAAATGAAAGTGATGAAATTATCAATGTCTACATGTATGAAATTATTTTTTTCTAAATATCTTTTCTATACTCCATGTGTTAAATCATTTCAAGAGATTTTTTTAAAGAAATAAAAGGTTAACAAATAGCATATATGCAAAGCTACAAAATGAGTTAAACCATATTATAATCCCCCTCACAATCCCCCAAAATGTTCTGAGCATACTTAACATTACCAGTTTTTAATGTCATCTTAATTTATTTGCTTTCACCTCCTAATCAAGTTGCTTCATCAATAGCTATATCTTAGCATACTTAAATCAAGAATACTATAGCAAAGGCATATATGTGAAAGGGCTTTGACTTCATTAATTACTATTCAATGAAGCGAATTCATGTGGTAGTATATGATTGATGAGTGTTAAACCCAGCCCCCTTTCTAATGGTTACATCCCTTACAATCCAAGCAATCCGAACCATGTTGGCACCAAGGGATGTGCAAGCTCCGCCTACAATTATGACGTCATAACAACCATTCCACGGTCTCAACACTAGAGAGCGCTTGGTATTTCATGATGCGTGAAGTCATCATATCACCAAGCTCTAGGGTGATGCGGCCACCGTGGATCTAGACAGTTACTATTCAAGATGAATACATCATCTCATTCAGGTATGGGTAGGGGAAGCAGTCTTGTGTTTATAAACAAAAACTTGTTATTGTTTGCTATGCTGAGCACTGCTGAAGAGGAGTCTACGTGCATGCTTCGTGTCAGACAGGTTTCTAGGGTCTACATGTTGGAATGACATGTATGCAGAATGCTTTCACAAGAACTCTATGTATCAACTATTTATGTCCTTAGTATTCAAACACTTCAATAGCAACAAGTTACTCTAAACTGCTGAGATGAACTATTTGCATTATGCATGTGTGAGAAATGCTTCAGCAGATTAATACACTGCCTACACTGAAACATACAGGTAGTTCACAGTCTCACATGGGTGATGATACGATTCTTCTTACTCTTAAATCTAACTTTGGTTTTCTTTTTAAAAGTCTGCAATATTCAAGTTCAACAACTTGGACCAGAGCAGCATGCTTTACTCAGTCAAACAAGACATGGATACAGGGAAGTGAGAGAACTAATAAAGTGAATGAAACAAGATAAATCCTTTTCTTAGTATAAAAATAACATAATAGACTTACATTCATACATTTTTCTTTTCAACCCCAAGATATGAATTTGGAACACATTTCGTTTAAAACCCAGGTGTGTTCATAAACATTTTCTTTCTTTACAAATTTTATCTTATTTTTTGCCGGTCATATGTTCTCAATGCATTTTGATGTATGATTTCAACCAAAGTCGAGCTTTCTGAAATTCCATGAACACATCACAGATCTGAACATGTTAAAATAACATCAATGTCATAAAGATGATAGTCTAGAAGAAACCCTACAAAAATTATAAACTTACATTACAGAGCAGCGTCTAAATTAAAGGGAAGTCCACCCTGTTATGAAGTTCATTTTAATAGAAGCAGAAAATGAGAGAAGCAGGTCTGTAAAAGTTTGAGCAAAAGCTGATTAAAAATAAGAAAGTTATAAAATGTTGAAGGTGCAATCAATTAAACACAAATTGGAAACTGTGACATATCTTGTGAGCTCCCCTCCCATTTGCCATGTAAAAAAAAAATATTTTCCCTTAAGAAAATTATCAATCATGCATTCACCCTAAATATAATAATTGCAAATATGATTTTATACAGGGGTGATAG